AATCCCCGCTCGCTAACAAAAGCGGTCACGGGGTCTTTGAGCACATATTTAAAGTATAGCATTTTCTCCGCCTAAAAGAAGTGACGGGTACTTAATTAAACAATTTTTTTATAAATAAAAAATTTTTCCCGCCCGCTAAAAAAAAAGCGGTCACGGGTACTTAAGTTTCATGCATACGAATTTCCCCGCTCGCTCAGAGCGTCACGGGTACTTAAATTTCCTCGCTCGCTAAAAAAAGCGGTCACGAGTACTTATTTCATGCATAGAAATGTAAAATACTAGTATCGGACTATTTACCTTCGGTGTGCAGCAATCGAGACGACGTCGACGGATGTCGGCAACAGTGGGAGACCAGCGATGCACAATTTAATTTTGTTTTTAAATATTTGTGCAATTTAATTAATCATTTATGCTTTTCTTTTATTTAAAACAAAGTGTAGAGAGAGATAAAAAGGAAGAGAGCTCTCTTTCTAGAGAGAGAAAGAGAGGGAAAGAGAGGATTTGATGGGTTTTTTTATGGAAGAGGCTTAGGGTGTGTAGGAGATTGGGAGAGTGAGGTTAGAGAGAGAAAATCTCTCTTTCCCTAATTTTTGGAGAGAGAAAGAGAGAAGGGAATTTTTTTTCTCTCTAGGGAATGAATTTGGAGGCATGGTGGAGAGGGGAGATGCTTGAGGTGAAGATAGAGTCATTCATGAAGAGATTTCACTCTTATTCTAGAGAGAGAAAATTTTCTCTCTCTAGGTTGAGAGAGAAAATGAGGGATGATGAATTTTTTTTATTGGGTGGGTGTAGGATATGTGTAGGAACATTTTTTGTGAAAGGATGTGAGTGGTTTGGTGAGTGGATGTGAAGAAAAAAAAAGATTAAGGTTAAGGTTTTTGTATGTTTGTTGAGATTGTGGCGAAGGAAGAAGATGAAGATAAAGATGAAGGAGAGGAAGGAGAAGAGAGGGGAAGAAAAAAAATGGAAGAAAATGAAAGGAAATATGGAGGGATGAAGAAAGAAGTAAGAAAATGGGGAAGAAAAAGAAGTGAAGAATAATGGAGGAAGAAGAAGAAGAAAAGAGGAAGAAATTTACCTTGTAGAAGCTTGGAGGGAGGAGGCCGGCGGTTGGAATCGCGTGAGGGAGAGGGAGGCGGCTCCTTAGGCGTGAAAATGATCGTGAAATGAGGAGGGGAGGTCGGTTGAGAGAATATGAGAGTGTGAGGGTTTAAGTGAGGGGTATTTTAGGGTATTTTTTGAGTTTTTTATTTAAAGAAAAATTCTCTTTTATTTAAAATCTCTCTTTCTCTCCCTCTCTTTCTAATTTTTTTTTTCAATTAAATTACACAATAAAAATAATTTTTTTTATTCTAGCATCGAGTGGGTCATTGTGTCGCCGCTCGCACAAGTCGTCGTCTCGATTCGCGCGCCCAAAATTTAATTTTTCACCGACCGGCAACCCCCACCAATATGGGTGTCGATCTTAGCTGTTTCTGTTGCTCCAGACGCATCGGCGTTGTCCGTTTCGCGAACGGAGGTCATCTCGACGATTTTGGATTTTCGGTAGACTCGCGTCGGGTGAATTTTTACGCGATTTTGAGCTCTTTCGCTTTTGAAACCCACCTTGCGCGGTCAATTCGATCCCGACACTAGTATTAGGGTCAACACTCCTCTTTGTATGTATTTGGTTGTAGCCTTGTAGGTACTCAAATTTCTTTTACAGCCAGATGACAAGCATGTCAAACCCAAAACTTTCTCAACAAAACGCTACAATTCTGAAGTCCCATCACCAAATTGAATACACCACTCAACTAAAATTTACATAAGGGAGTTTAATTAGTGCTCAAAGAATAATTTTTAAATAAATGTTTAAAATATTAAATGAAATTACATGGAGATCGTTTGACAGTTGTATCTTTTGTTTGTTGTAATCCAAAAAAGCCTTCTTTGTTCCTAAAAGGTATCAATTGCATGTCAGCATTTGATCTTTCAGTTATATCATTTATCAGCCGATCTATGTAATGATACAATCCTAGCTTTATTTCAGGATTTGTATACTTATTCTCTACATAGTGATACTGAGGGTTTATGTAATAGTCTGCTGCATGCAAGTGTCGGTAAAGCTATTGCTCCCACTTATCATCAATAATATTCCAAATTTTCCTAAAGCTTCTCTCTTCGCCTCCTAAGTTGGAGGCATTTAGCTTCATCCATAGCATTATAGATGAAACTCATTGCAGGCTTCTTCTCTGCATCCACCATCCTTAAAACTTGAACCAAATGATTAGTGTTTGTAATGACGTACAAGATACTTTGTCAAAATCTATCATTTAAACAATCTTCCTAATATCTTTTCCCTCAGCCTTCTTCGCCCAAGCATAACTAAACTACTGTGTAGATGTGAACACAGACTCTAGAGGTTGTCTAGCATCGAACATACTCTCTAATGTCAAGTAAGCGGTGGCAAATCTTGCTTATACTAGCCTTAGAATTTATTTCTTTGAAAATTTCTCATAAGAGCTAGAACCTAAGAGTGGTTGTAAATTAACTTGATTATTTTCTTTGCTCTAATAAGTGTATTTTTGTGCTGAGGTAGCTCCTCAAGTTTCTCAAGAATCACACCTATGCAATGTGCAGCACATGGAGTCCAGTACAGATGTTTCCTCTTCTCCATAAGTTTTTTCCTTGAAGCTTTGTAAGCACTTGTATTATCTGTAACCACTTGTACAACAAACTGTTCTCCAACATTCTTTGTGTATAACTTACATTCATATTACATGTACTACACCTCTCCTACTAAAATTTTTGGAATTAATTTATACACTTATCTATTAAGCATCTTATACTATTTATTATGCATGCCTAAACCACATGTCCACATAAACATAAGTCTAATAAAAAAAGATCTAAATATTACATAAATAAAAAAGTCCTATCATTTTCATTTCCATTTTCTTACACTATCAATGGCAACCATTCAATCAAATGACATTGAAAATTATATATATAAATTTCTTATATCATAGAATATCAAAACATTCTTTGTGCATAACTTACATTCATATTATATGTAGCATACTAAAATTTTCGACATTAATTTATATACATATCTATTGAGCATCTTATACTTTTTTATTATGCAGGCCTAAACCACATGTCCACATAAACATAAGTCTAACAAAAAAAGATCTAAATATTATATAAATAAAAAAGTCCTATCATTTTCATTTTCTTACACTAACAATGACAACCATTCAATCAAATGACATTAAAAATTGTATCTATAAAACAAAACAAGATTGCATAAAATAAAAAAAAAATCGCCAAAAATGAAAGAAAACCAAAGGAAGATGTCAATAAATGCGATGGTATAATAGAAAAATCACAACTGAGTGCAAAGAAGAAGAGGAAGTTAAGCTATTTCACCTTTGTCAAAAAGCCCTAAACTCCAACCACGAAGAAGAAGAGCTTTCAGCGGTCGGTCGAAGGAGATTCCATGCCAACTCGTGGTAGAAGAGAACACCAAGCAAGAGGCGAAGAGTAACTCTCGGTGGAAGGAAGCCGACGTCAGTCGAATGGAATGAAGAGGGGAAAATGTCACTCGAAGAAGTAGAAGAAACCCTCGGTTCAGAAATGACGGAAGACGCGAGGGAGGGGGGTCGAACCGAATAGATAAATATTAGGTTAGGTTTTTTATTTTTAATTTTAAGAGGCGAACGCCTCTAAAAACTGAGGCGAGGCTTGCCTTGAGGCGTACGCCTCATTCCCTGCTCTCATTGCGTAGGCTTTGAGGGTTAAAAGAATGAAATTGTGCTGATGTGTGCCTCGTATTGCGCAATTTTAAACTATGAAATTGATTACTTGTGTTTCTAAACTATTACATGTAGTTTGACCTAAGCTTTAATCATCGATCTAATGTTCTAACTATTTGTTTAAGTCACAAGAATCTAACATAATTATTATTGCCCAAATTCAATAGGCGTGTGATTCCAAAATTGCATAACTTTGCATGCATTCTAGTCCTACATCATTATTAAAGGAAACTATCACTACATAAAAATATGTTAAAAACAAACTTTTTTGTGTGGAATTTGATATCCTAGAAGGATAATTAGCATATTTATTGAATAGTGTAATTCTATATCAACATTAAATTATCATGCTCAAAACATGTGATTAACATTTCTGAAATTTATTATAAAATTGAATTATAATAGATGTAACTCTATGGTATCTTATTGTGATCAGTCAATGCATCGGCATTGGATTATGCACGCAATTTTTGTACTGAGATGCAACTTCTCAACTACAAATACACTGTGAAAAGAAGGTCTTCGTGGGGAGTAAAGGTTTGAACCCCAAATTGTTCAAGCCAATGTCATATTTATGGCACATCTCAGGGGAAAATACTTAAAGTGAAATGAAACTTTATCCAAATTTCAAGATTCTATTTATTATATGAACGGTGACCCCTTTAGTTTGGTTTATAAAGAATAAGATTTCCAGACTATAATCCAATACTGCATAGCTTATGTGGGTCCAAGTTAACTACCCGAGTATAAATATTAATGCTTATTGAGATAATACTTTACATCATAGCTTTTATTTTTTATTTTTATAATTGACACCATGTGAGAGTATAGAAAATTATGATTTCATGCATATAAAATAATATATTATTTTTTGAAAAATTAATAGGATATGCATTAAAGAGTGAAAATTTAGTAATGCATGCAAATTCAATGGATGAATCGCAAGTATTATGTCCACTGAGTTACTCTTATGTTGAAGGTACAGGACATGTCTTTTGGAGTTCTAACTTATAGAATTTTAAACCATTATTTATTATTTAAATAAAGGAAAATTAATTTCTTCAAAACAAAGAAGTCCTTTGCCATGCATTCGAGGCCTATATATATATATATATATTCATCAGGCTTACGAGTGAAAAATGAATGCTAGTCTAGCTGAGAAGAGCAAGAAAACCGCTTGCCGATATTCGATTTGACAATTGAAAAAGAAGTAAAATAAGAGAAATATTATTTGGGCATAAATATATCATTCTTACCATACAATTTGTCCTACAATAGATACTTTAGGTGCTAGTGTCTTCTTCATTTGCCATGTCATGATCAAATTGCAATGGTTTAGAATGTGAAACTCATACAAACATGAAACGTCATAGGTTTACTCATTTGTAGCAGTCCACTCTATAATATGTACAATTTAATAGATTTCCTCCCGTTTCGGCTCCCTATTCTCCGTGTTCTTTTTGTAGAGCCAAGCACAAAGCAGGAAGTACACAAAGTTGAGCAAGCAACAACCAGCCAGAGTTAAGTAGACATTATCCAACCGAGACTCATTAACATCATCTTGAAGCCAGTTAGTGCTACGACGTATCACTGCGATAATTGCTGAGCTCATATAAAAACCAGTCCCAGACACAACAGCAAAAGTTCCTGTTGCGGTGCTTCTCAGTGATGCAGGAAAATCCTGGTAATAAAATGCAACACTAGCAGGAAAATGAAACGCTTCTCCAAAACCTATGAGTACAAGGGGTGGCACAAGCCAAAGCACTGAGAAAGTGTTAGTGGCTACAACAGCAAGCCTTCTTGATTCAGTTAAGGCCATTGCAACCATTGCGAACATATTGATAACATGCCCAATGGTGATGCCACTAAGTGGTGATAGCCTGCATCTGGTGCAACCAAGCACTGTGATGGAGGTGGCAGCGGTTGCAAGCACAAAGACATTCATTGAGCCAGCAGGAATAAAGAAATTGTGGGTTAGGCTGCGGTCCATTGCCAAGGCCTGCAGAACTGTCAAGCTCGTCTGTACTGAAATGGTGGCGCTGAGTAATATCCCACTAGAGATTATTGGGAGAAATCTAATGAGAAGCTTTCCTTCTCTGCAGAAGCTCATTAAGTGATTTCTACTGAGGTTGGGTTTTGAGTGGAGGTAGTAGGGTCTTCCAAAGAGGTAGAAAAGGAAGGCAATAGCAGTGATGGCGGTGCAAAGGGCAAAGCCCCAGTGCCAGCCAGCTGAGTCTTGGATGTAGACAAGGATGGTGGTGCCAGCGATGGAGGAGAGGTAGAGGGAAACAAAGCACCAATTGAAGAAGGCAGTACGGTCGGAATCAGTAGAAAACTGGTTGGCACCCATGGTCATACCATTATAGCGAGTTCCAGCAACACCGGTGGCAAGAAGGGCTATGGCGGTAAAGAGAACGGTAAGATGGGCAGTCATTGGGGGTTGGCAAGGGGTGGGAGGAGCACAAGGTGGTGGGTGCAAGGAGGGTAGAATAGCCGTTAATGTGAAGAGAAGCATGCCCTGCGTGGAAATGTGTCAGGATTGTTAGGATACTAGTTAGAGGAAAACAATGAGTACATAGATCAAAATCTTACTTCAGCTTAAACCAAGCGCTTCTTTGAGCATAAGTGGTTAAACAATTTAAAGCTGTGCTAGAAGAAGGCAATGTTGTATATCTGTTGCATGTGGTGAACGATGGTACTAAAAATAGAAAGTGTTTATCAATCAGAACAATAACCATCAAATAATAGATTATTTGCTAATTGGATTGCTAAATATTTACTGCAAATTGGATAACTCAAAACAATGTAGTTCCACCTATCATACCACGTACAGTAGTCGCTACTAAATTTGTTTATACATTTATTAGCATGATCGTTGAGGATGTTCAACTTAATAAAAGATGGCAAGCATATTATATACAGCAATTAAGCCCGACTAAAACCATCACCATAGAAATCATAAACAAAATGGATCGCATTGTGTTGTAATCTATGCCTAGCAGAGTGGATGTTAAATATTTAGTTCGTATAAATCTATCTGCAATATTGCATGTAGATAAGTCGATTCCCCGTACAAAGTATTTTAAGCTTTACAATATGATTTTGTAATTGCTAATAACTTAGTTAAGAAAAGAGATAAGAATCTCATCGCTTATAAGAAAGACTATAGTAAAACTCAGATTGATTATTTTTTTATAAGAAAAAAAATCGTTTAAATTACAAAGATTGTAAAGCTATTCTTAGTGAAAGTTTATGTATCCAACATCGCTTATTAGTTTTGTACTTTAAGATAAAGGGGTAGAATATGAAAAAAAGAGTAAAATGTTGTTTTAAGATTAGATGTGGATATTTAAAGAACACTAACAAAAATACCTTTGAGAGAGATTCGAGATCTTAAAATTTAGTTTGTGCATGAGAAAGCTAATGATACGTGGAAAAAAATAGCTAGTAATATTAAAAATATTGCAAAGGATGTGCTTGGAGTTTTGAAAGGAAAAGCTCCTAATAATAAAAATAGTTGGTGATAGAATCAAAATGTGCAAAAAAAAATAAAAAAATAAGAAGCTTTGTTATAATAATTAGTTTCTATGTAAAAACTATGAAAATTGGAAAATATATAGAGGCTCATAAGATGTCTAAAAAAGCAATATGCGATGCAAATATTTTAGCTTTTAATGATTTATATAATAAATTAGATACTAAAGTGGGCAAAAGATATATGTATAAATTTGTCAAACAAAGAGATAGGAATAGTAAGGATTTAGTTCAAGTGAAGTGCATTAAGGATGAAGATCAAAAAGTGCTTTTTTTAGAAGAGGATATTCAACAAAGGTGGATGAGATATTTTGTTAAGCTTTTCAATGAAGATTGTGAGAATACGATTGACTTTTGTGACCATAGCATTCTAAATGAAAATAGAGATTTTATTTTTATAGGTGTATTAGTAAAATTGAAGTTAGAGAGGTTTTAAGGAAAATGGTGTGAAAAAACTATTGGACCTGATGATATTCCAATAAAGGTGTGGAAATGCTTAGGAGATGAAGAATTTCTTGGCTTAATAAACTTTTTAATATTATTTTGAAGACTAAAAAGATGTCAGATGAGTAGATAATAAGTGTGTTGATTCTTATTTTTAAGAATAAAGGTGATGCACAAGATTGTACGAATTATAGAGGAATTAAATTAAACTGTCATACTTTAAAACTTTAGGAGAGAGTTATGTAGTATAGTTTACGATGTAATTATAATGTTTCTCAAAATTAATTTGGATTCATGGCAAGTAGGTCTACTATAGAAGCTATTCATTTATTGAGAGGACTAATGCAGAAGTTTAGAGAGAATAAAAAAGATCTACATATGATATTTATTGATTTAGAGAAAGAATATGATAAAGTTCCAAAAGAAGTACTATGGAGAGTTCTAAAAAAGAAAGGGTTAATAATACTTATATTCAAGTCATTAGGGATATATATGCAAGAGCTATTACTTGTGTTCAAACACAAGGTGGTTTGACTCAAGTATTTTTTTTATTTCAGTTGGATTACATCAAGGATCAATGTTAAGCCCTTATCTTTTTGCTTTAGTCTTGGATGTTCTTGCTAGACATTAGCAAGAGGATAAATCCTGGTGTTTGCTTTTTGCTGATAATATTCTTCTTGTTGATATTAAATAATAAAATCGTCTGAGTCGTTATATTTGGCCTTTACATGAACGAGAAGCCCTATTTTTCTGATCCACGAAAGAAATCTTCTAGGGCTGACCGGGCAAACTCGCAGCCAACGCCAAACGGAGCCCACTGCCTTCGCCTCCCGTTCCTTCGTCATTTCTGCTCGAGCTGAGGCCAAGCCGAGCTCGTCTTTCCCATTCCTTCGTTCCTGTATGATTTTTGCGGTCAGCCGAGGCAAAGTTCACAATCAACGCCGGCAAAGTTCACAATCAACACCAAACATAGCACCTTCTGCGCGCAAGATGTGGGATGTTGCTGGAGATGAGTTCGAGTGCCTTGATGATATTGGATTATTGGAGGTTGCAAATCTTTCTCTAAATGAACCAGAGTTGGAAACAATGATATTCAATGATGATGATATTGAAGGCCAAAGAACAACCTCTGAATCTAATTCTATCATTCCCTCTATTGAGTAGTTGGACCTTCATTTATACTAAATGATTTTTTGCTTATATTTTTGTGGCTGTACTAGACATCTTTATGTTATAAGCTAAACATGTTATTATAAAATTGATTTATTATTGCTTGTCATTTTTAATATAATGTCACCTTAATTTCTATATATTATATAAAAAATTATTATGTTGTGTCCACACCGCACCGGTGTCCTATATTTTTAAAAAATGTCATGTCCGTGTCGTCATGTCCATGTCGGTGCATCACAAGTTGTCCATTAAAAGAGAAGCATAATATTAAGTTAAGTGTTGCTGAGATGAGGATGCTCATGCAGATGAGTGGATTTACTCTTAGAGATAGGATACGAAACGAGCATATCCGGGAAAAGGTTGGAGTAGCTCCAGTGAAAGATAAGATTAGAGAGAATCGTTTAAGATGATTTGGTCATGTAAAACGGCGACCTTTTGATGACCCCGTTAGGAGAGTAGATGTATTAGATTTGACCTGTATTAAGAAAGGTAGAGGTAGATCTAAAAAGACTTGGTTAGAAAATATTAGAAATGACATTTCTTTATAAATTAAATGAAAATTTGGCTCTTAACAGGACACAATGGAGACAGGATTCATGTAACTGACCTCACGCAGTGGGATAAAGCTTGATGTTGTTGTTGTTGTTGTTGTTGTTGTTGTTGTGATTCAAATCTAAGACGGTGCATATAATATATTGCAAAACCCAAATTGTGCCCAAAAATCCGTTGAGCTAGAAGTAGTGATCCAGCCCAACCCAATATATGGGATAAAAAATGAGACATTGTCGTGCACCAAAAGAAATTCCTACAAAATTAGAGATAGTCAGAAATATTTATAATATTCTTAATTTAAAGATGTCAACCATAGACAATAAGGTAGATAAGGTTTTCCATTTTTCCATGGAATACCTTTTAGTTATTGAGTAAAAAAATAAGAAACTTCATGTTTGTGTAAATATTGAGTAAAAAAATGCATTCCCCGCCTACTAGTTTGAGGGATATTAAGACATTGATGTTTTGAAGGAAATTAAACCTACAATGGTGATAACAAAGCACCAATTGGTGCTACTAACAGTGAGTTTTGTAGGCACAATGATAGACATTTATAGGTGATTGAGGCATGTAGTCAGACTATCAAATCTTGGTACAAAGATCATGGAACTTCTAAAGGCGATTATGATGAAGAGCTTGGGAGAGCTGATAATGATAAAACAAAGGGGTGATCGGAGCAAGCCTATGGTAACAATATGACTAGCCTAAAGATAATGGTGGGCCTATGGAAACTTAGAACAATGATTACAATATGCCCAAAGGTATTCATCATAGTAGGCACGACCATGGTAAGAGTGGAATAGCTAAACCAAACTTAAGGCATATGTTGTAATTGATCAACATGTGGCAGCTATGTCAAGCTCAAAGGGGCAGTAATGGCAAAAGCAACTTGGTAATACCATGGGCAATGATCATGGTGGCCCTGAAGAAAAGGATGAAAGCAAACCTAAAGGTGGCCACATCAATAAACCTAAAAAGCATCAGTGACTTGGGGACGTAGAAGCCTGAAGGTGGTGACAAGGTGGACCTAAAGGCGATGGTTGGGACAACAATGGATTCGAGCGAAACAACAGCAGTAGGCACAAAGGTATAAACAACAACAAATCCATAGGCTGTGATCAATAGACCAATAGATGTTATCAGCATGGATCAGACAGCTAGCTATGAATAGTGGCTCCTCCCTGCGGCATCAACAAGGAACAAAATATTGTTAGATGTAGGTAACTCCAAAAAGCAGCGACTGCGATTGCATATCTTCCGAGTGCAACAATAGCTATCAATGAAATGAGCCATGATGCCTCTAGGTGGCATCAATAAAAATAGTGGTGTATCTAGATAAGATTGGTAAGAACAACATCTCCAAGGGATAGCAGCAAGCTAAAACATGTCATCAACAATACCATTGAGAATAAAAAATACATATCAATACGCTATGAATGGCAACCCCAAGAATCCTAGAGTTCATGAACATTCTCTAGAGCTCCAAAGTTATAGAGAAATTAATCTTGGTGAACTAATTCTGAAATAATTTATAGAAATGTAAATCTCTAGTTTGGATGCATTTGTCTCCATATTCATTCTTATCTGAAACGAGCAAAGGAGATTTAATGTAGGGAAAATTGTGGCAAGAATGGATGTCAAAACATGAGGAAGAACAAGAGAAGAAAATGAAAGAAAACTTTGTGTATATAACTTAGAACAAACAACATAACCAACATGAATCAAAAAAGGAAAAAAAAAAACATAATTCTAGGCTAGTGCTGATTCGTTGTAAAAAAAAATAAAGAACCATAATTGGCTTCTACAAAGAATTCA